AGGACATCTGGTCACCTTACCCTAAGGGGGCTCACATTCAAGAACACTTTCAGTAAGTGGAGGAGTGCATAGGAAGAATGATCTCTAGTCTTTCAGTAGAGTGAAATTTTTTAAACACCTAGCCTGCCAAAAGAAAATAGAGATGCTGTATCAAACTACGAGTGATTTTGACAATTGTCTCATAATTCTCAGTTCTTGGAAAGAGCTATTTACGATACTAATAACTAAGAATAGTTTCCTGTCAAAGAAGATATTCATCTGTCCAGTAATGTTGAATGCTTGTTTTTTCTTTCAGAGCCAAAGACTCTGTGAAACATTTTCATGTTGAATATACTGGATATTCATTTAAATTTGGATTTAATGAATTCTCATCTTTGAAGGACTTTGTCAAGCATTTTGCCAACCAGCCTTTGATTGGAAGTGAGACAGGTAAGCTCAGAACAGACATTTAATCTATGAGCTATTATTTCAGGATGAAGGGGGCCACGGCACATTTCAATGAAAGAATTACATAGCTGTCACTTCTGTTAGATTTTGTGCATATGATAAACATCTTGATATATTTAGAAACAATTTCCTGTTGCTGCGCCATATGTTACATTCATATTTTGTGTGTGCGCATATACACTTATTTCAGCCTTATGAGAAAACAGTGTGCTTTATACAGACTACTCTATATTTTCTCAGAATGTCTTATTTTATGAATTGATTTAAAACACATAGACAATTCCCTTAAAATGACCTCTCTGTTTTACAACCATTTGCACAATAAACAAAGAAAAATAAAAGCAATACCAATTTTGAGTTCTTTATTACTTTAGGTATGGAAAGCTTGCATGTGGGTGAAGAAAACTTTTAATATTTGTAAAATTAAAGTTCATACTTTATTTTTTCCACAGAGGTCAGTGAGCATTGAAAATATCAATTGGGGCATGCTTTCATGAGTTATAGAAATCTGTTTCTTTTGTCTTGGTTTCTCATACATTTTTAAGCTGGAGTGAAGTGTGTCAGGGAATGTTTAAAAGTTCCTGTTTTAAAATATTCAGGTTAAAAAGACAAACAACAACACTATGCTGCCATAAAATTATCTATCTATCCAAAAATTCTGTCATCAATTCAATTCCTACTCAATATGACCCCGTATAGGGTTTCTGAGGCTGTAAATTAAGTCGGTGCTCTCCTTTATATTGGTGATAGAGAACCACAATGTTGTTTTTTTCTAAAAGATAATAAATCACCATTAATCAAAGGTAGGGAAATTCCACAAACCTATGACACAAGAGGAACTCAAGACATAACACGGCAAGTTACCATGAACTCCTACATACGCATGTTCCCAGTAAATTTGGTCACTGATCCGTCTGTGAACTTGTGTGTTCAGAGAAGATGCCATTGGTCTTTTCTGTTTTATGTGGTT